AGGGTGGAAACGGTGCTGGCGAGGGCGAGGGAAAATGAAACATCTGTGGAGGATGGGGAAGACGAGACAGGTGATGAGGATGAGGAGGGGAAGATGGAGGAATGCGCGGAGAAAGGATCCCACGCGATCAGACGCCAGGGAGGCGCCCACGTTCACACGCGAAATCACATGCATATGATTTCGCGTGTGACCTGTGCGCTCGTGCATGTTGTTCGCTCCACGGGACCGCAATTTGCACTCGAGGCCAGCCCCGCCATCCTCGCTCCCATCCCCCCCATTGCATCCGCCAGGACACGCCCCCCAAGACGTCGCGCGAGCAGAAGGTGGAGCTCGTGAAGGACTTGGTCAAGCGTGTGCAGGCGGGCTTTGTTTGCTTTGCTTAGTCGTCGCCCTCGCCCTGCTCCTCCTCCTCCTCCTCCTCCTCCTCCTCCTCCTCCTCCTCCTCATCCTTCTCACCGCCATGCCCTCTGTATTTCAACGGTCGGCATGGTGTTGCTGCCATCGCTCACTCCATCCTCCCTCCTCGCTATCTTCCTACTTCTCCCTGATCCTCGACCCTCCGTGACCTCCCTCGTTCCCCCCCCCACTGCTCTCCTGAGCCTCGCCGCCATCATTATCATCGTTCTGAACCTCCGTCCCGCGCCATCATTATTATCGCCGATGTCATCGTTGCATCGACGCGCCGCCGTCGCGCATAGCCACGGTGGTGCGAGGCAGCGCTGGCGGGCGGATGGGCAGCTCGGTCGGCGCGATCATTAGTTTATAAAGATCCGATGACCTCTCCCGTCGAGGGGTTGGCAGCAGTCTGGGCGTTCCACATCACGAAGGCAAGTGACTACGCAATGCCCCCCCCCCCCCTTCTCCCCGAGACGGCCCACGCGGGCCAAATATATGCGACAATAATTTGTCCATACCTCACTTCAACCGTCTCCTCCACATAATTGGTGCTGCCAATCGTCCAATTCCGTCCCAAGTCCTCTCCCATCGCTCACTCGCCCCCTCACTCGGGTGGTCCACCGTTGCTGGCCCAGCGCTACCTCATTGGGCAAGACCCCCAGGCAGAGCAGATTGACTACTCAACAGCTGCGGTGCACGATGCCCCGCTAGACCGAGATGCGCTGGTGAAACACAAGACCCTCATCTTGGCAACGCGCCAAGTCCTGAAAGATTGTCCAGAAATGAAATCAAAAATCGACAAGACCGTCGCAGAGGAGCCCAGGGACCCACAATGCAAAATGTTCCCCTTCAACCTACCTGATGAGGAGGGGGCGGAGGCAGGAGGAGGCAGGGGAAGAAGGAGGAGGAGGAGGAGGAGGAGGGAGTAGGAGAAGGGAGGAGATGTTGGATGCCCCGAGGATGCACTCAAGAAGGTGGCATCTCACCACGAAACGTCCTGGAAGCTGGCCGACACCCAGTTTAGCTGGGCCGCGGACAGGGGCAAAATGATTCGGAACATGGTTCGACACGTCAGCCAGGGCCTGATGAAGACTGCTGGGTCTAACATGCAATTCGGGGTGGTTCGGGTCGGCGTCAGCCTGCTGCTTGCAGCTTTCTCGGCCTCGCATGGGGGGATGCATAGGCAGCGGGCGCGCGGTGGGGGTGCATTCTGAATTCCTGAGGAAATATATCTGGTCAGAAGAGTTCTTGCTGAGCGGTGAAACCAAGCAGGACCTTGGCTCAACACAAAAGGTAACATCTGCCCCCCCCCCCCCCCCATTTCCCCCATCGCATCATCGGGTGCAGGGTTGCGTGGCCACAGGGCGCTGAGCAGGCTGCCATGGCGGCCGCAGACGAGAGCGAGCAGCCCCGAGATGAGGAGCCGGCGAGGAAGAAGAGCAGGAACCTCCCGCCGCACATGCAGGTGAAGGCCGTCATCGACAAGTGGCAGCTTGGCTGGACTCCACAGACGCAGGCATGGGTGGTCAATCGAGCACGGTTCGAGATCTCACTGATCGATCACGTTGCGACCGTCGCCATCGGAATACATTCGGTCCGTTTTGGACGAAGTTGCATTGATAACTCCGTCCAGACACGTCGGCCACATAAGGCCATTCGGATTCACATGTAATTTCACATGCATGTGAAATTGCGTGTGATTCTACTCCGATGGCGACGCTCACGGCGCGATCCCGATCGGTGCAACCTCGCATCGCCATGCTCGGTCGCCGCCCAGCAAGGCTGCTTGGCGCGCCATGGAGGGTGAGCTTGTTCCTGAGTATGCCCGCGCATGCCGCGTCCCTAATGAGCCGCTCTTGGTTGCGAAGTGGGGCGATGGATTCACGTGGAAGGTCCCCGACGCGGAGGACGTCGCGCCGCTGGAGGAGCCCATCGCTTCCGCGAAGGGGAGGAACATCTTTTTCTCGAAGGAGAAGGGCGACAACACCGTGAAGGTGCAGCTCGTCAACAAGGGGGCTAAGTCCTGGCTCGTCTTGTGGGAGGGCGGCGCGCAGCGGGTCCAACTACTGGGCTATCCAGCGGAGAAGCTCGAGGACGCGAAGAAGTTTCTCATCGCGCAGGCCGAGAAGTTCGTGCGCAACACGGCGGACAAGCTCTCCATCGAACAGGCGAAGGAGAAGTGGCTCAGCTCGATCGGCGTCGTGAAGCACAAGGGGGGGGGGAAGGCCAAGAAGAGGCCAGCGGCATCGAAGGCTGCCATCCAGGCAGCCGCGGACGCGGAGCAGCCGCGCGAGGACGGCGAGCCCCCAGAGGACGGAGAGGACGCCAAGGGCGAGGATGATGACGAGGCGGAGGAGGATGAGGATGGCGCCGAGGCAGATGAGGAGAAGCCAGAGGAGGCCGACGTTGGCGGCCAGGAGAACGCGTCCGACGAGGACGAGGGCGTGGCCGTGAAGAAGAGGCCCGCTGCCAGGCGCAGGCCAGGATCGGCAGATGAGGCGCCGATCGGCAAGCCAGCGGCGGCGGAGGCGCCCGACAGCACGCAACGCGGGCCTGCTACGGCGTCGCCTCGCGCCGCCGCCTGCCCGACGACGCCAGTTGTCGCCCCAGCGTCGGCGGCGCTGGCCAGCCCGCCCGAGAAGATCCCCATCCCGAAGGTAGCTGCCGACCACGCCGCCGAGGACGCTCGCCCGAAGAAGGCGACGTCGAAGGGGGCGGCGAAGACGAAGGGGGATGCGGCCGCGCAGAGCAAGGCGTCTTCGACGGCCAGCGCAGCTCCAGCAGGCCCACGGGCCACTGGGAGTGAGGTCGCGCCGCCAATGAGCAGCAGCGGCCATGCAGCGGCATCGGCGCCAGCTGGCTTGCCGCCGATTCCCGATGATTTGTTTGGGTTTTGAGCTGCTGTACTGCATAATAGGACTGCGAGTACACTGGGCTGTGACAAGTGCGCTCTCTAGCTAGCGAGAGCTACTGCAAGCAATGTGCATCGTGATCGCGAGCACCGTCAATCTCCTCCTCATCATCCTCACCTCCCTCATCCTCCTCAACATCGCCCTTATCATCATGGTCCCGCCCCTCCTTCTGATCAGAGCCCCCTCCTCCCACTCCTGCCCCTCACGTGAGAATCCGCTGCGCCACGACATGGGGTCTAGCTTCTCACGACATGCAACCGTGCATTCGTCATTCTTATCAGATCCGTGCTCGCCCGACAATCCCTCCCTGTCTGTCCGCCGCCCTCCCCCGCGCTCCGCGGATTCGCTCTCCCTAACCCTGCCTCCCCTCCTCGTCCCCCTCCTGACCCTCATCCCCTCTCCCCTCCTTCCCTTACCCCTTGTCTTGACCTCCCTTGCATTCGCGTCCCGCCTCCTCCTCCTCCTCATCATCATCATCATCTCCCTCTTCCTCCTCTTGCTTCCCGAGGCCGTCTCGCTCGTCTGCGTCGTTCACGTTCGTTTCCTCGTGATCCTCGTGAATCGTCCCCTCCCCGACGCGGGCCTGTCTCGTCGAGGTCGGAGCCCATCGAATCCGCTGGCCCTCCACCGACGGTGGGCGACTTCGTCGAGCGATGCGGGCCCTCGCGACGATTCGACGATAGGGGGTCGGCGCGGCAAGTCTGGCACGGCAGAGGCATGGCTGAGGATGCAGGAGGAGCATGGGGGGAAGGGTAGATAGGGGCAGCGGCGAGCAATACGGGGAAGGAGTGGGTGGCTGGACGGCGGGGTGTAGACACGGCGAGAGAGAAGGGGAATGATAGATGGGGCGATCGGGCGAGCGGAGGGAGGAGGAGCCGGGCGAGCGGGAGAGAGCTGGAGGGATGGAGGGCTGAGATATTGAGAGACGGAGGGGGGAGGGGTGCGTGGGAGTTGGAAGGACAGCGTGATAAAAGCCGATCTACAGGCGGCCACCGACACTTCCGAAGTGGACGAGCTCGAAGTCGACCGCATGTTCAGGGACCTCTTCGGCCGCGAGGAGTACAAGGGCCTCATGGCAGAGAAGGGCCACGCGGACTTGCGCGCGACCATGCAGGACCTCATGAGTGACATCTCCGAGACGGGCCACGTCATGGACCCGGTCAAGTGGGGCATCCCCGTGGACGGGGCGCAGGCGGCGGCTGGCGGCCGCAGTGGCGCTGGCAGCGCTGACGGGGTGGCTGGCAGGAACCTCGGCACGGTGTCCGAAGAGCTCGCCTTCTGGCAGGAGGTGGCAAACGGGGACTTCAAGGTCCCCACGGACACCCGCCTCTCGGCGGTCGCTGGCCGCTGGCAACGTGCCCTAGCAGCGGACCCACAAATGAAGGCTGGATACAATAGCATAACGGGGGAAAAGAAGTGTGAGCGGCGCGACCAGTTCAGGCGGGACTGGGCGCAGAAGAAGTTCGCCGCGGCGAAGGAGATCTGGTAATAAAGTAATGTAGTAGGCCAGTCTGTTGTCGATATCCGACGAGTTGGTTTCACACGCGAATTCGTTTGCATGCGATTTCGCATGTGAACCCGCTGATCACACACCTGGCACTGACCGTGATTCGAGGGCCCGTCGACCGATGACGAGTGCGAACGGGCGAACCAGAACCAGTTATAAAACGTTATCGTCCGCTCCCTCAGGAGATGGCCTCCCACACCAGGGAGATCAAGCGCTCCGAGTGGACGCATGGGGGGTACTTCCCCCTCGGCCGGGTCGCCGTGGAGGAGGGCGGCGGCGTCCTCGGGTGGCGCCAGGCCCGCGGCGCCAATTGCCGACGCGACGTGGTGTAGACGTGGATGATGTGATGATGATGGTGGTGAAATGGAGGACGAGGATGAGGATAAGAGGATGATGAGGCGGAGGAGGAGGAGTATGAGGAAGAGGAGAAGGAGGAGGAACGGAGGACGAGGGACAGGGGAGGGGGAAGGGGTGAGCATGATAGAGAGGACGTGGAGGTGGATGTCGCGGAAGTGGAAGGGGATATGACGGGGGGGGGCGGAGTTGGAGAGGATATTGAAGAGAATGAGGAGGACGACGATGGTGAGGATAGTCCGAGCAATAGCTGCGTGGGTGTCTCGTCGCCCCCCCCTCGCGAGGCGGTGCGGATGTTCTCGAAATGCATGATGATGGGCCCCCCGTGGATCATGTGCGATCCCCTCACAGAGGCGCTCCGCGCCCTCTACGTGAAGATCGCGCGGAGCTCGGATCCGCCACCCGCTCGCGCGGGCAATAGGCATCGGGTCTGCTCCCAGGAGATGGGAAGGTGAATGAGGAATGAGATCAGGAGGAGTGGAGGAGGGGAAGGGAACGTCAGGCCTGACCAGGGAAACTGTTGCTTAGAGGGGGTGGGCGAGGGCAGAGGCGGATGAGCAGGGTCGGGAGGCTTGGTCAGGCGACTGGTGGGTCGGATCCCCTTGGCCGACTCTGATCGATGACAGACGATCGTCGATCAGGGCGCTCGATTCTGGTTGCGGGGCGGCACCCGAGGGCTTCAGTCGCTACTTCAACGAGGCCTGGACCTTGCACGAGCAGTGGGAGCAGCAGGACACAACCGAAGGGGAACCGTCCCGTTACCCTGCTCTACCTCCACTCTCGCACACCTCCGCTACGCTCGCGCCCTTCCTCGTCTTGCTTTCGGCTTGCCCTGTCCCATTGCTCTTCCTCCTGCTCCTCCTGCTCCTCCTCTTCTTCCTCCGCCTCTCCCTCCTCCTCCTCGTCCTCCTCCTCCTCCTCCTCCTCCTCCTCCTCCTCCTCCTCCTCCTTCTCATGATTCTGCGCACCGCCCCCGCCCTCTCCAACTTAAGATGTGTCGCAAGCCTTTCTCTATCTTCCCAGTGCCCCCCGCTCTCCTCCGACTCGAGCCGATCGCTCCTCGTCGAGAGGACAGCTCGGCGGCAGCGGCCAGCGCTGGCGCGGCGGCGGCGGCCAGCGCTGCGCAGGCAGCGCTCGCGGCGCCAACGGGGGGCACCGCGGCGCCAGCGGGCGGCGCCTCTCCGCCAGAGGCTGGCGCCGCTGAGGCAGCGCTGGTGGATGAGCAGGGCGGCGCGTCGTCGGCCGCCGCGAGCGCGGGCCAGGGCAGGGCCACTGGCAAGGGCACCAAGCGCAGCAAGGGCGCGCAGGGCGAGGCAGGCGACGGCACCGCCGTCGTGGACCCGCCGAAGGACTCAGGGGTGCTGCGGAGGAAATGGCGGGGTGGAGGATGAGGTGGACGCAGAATGGAGGATGTGTAATATACGGTGGCGGAGGGGAAATGAGATGATGAGGAGGATGCGGATACGACAGAAGGAGGGAGCGTGGACGATGCATGGACTAGCGGGCGGGGTATCGATTATTGAGCGCACCCGCCCCAAGGAGACGGCCGCGCAGAAGCGCGCCCGCCTCGAGAGGGATCAGCAGGGCGCGGCTGCGTCGTCAGGCGACGCCGTCGCCGACGAGAAGAAGACAGCCGCGAAGTTGGCGAAGGATGGCAAGGACGCCCTGCAGCGCTACTCGAACACCACCAGGCAGGCGAACCACATGGTGATGAACGTGGAGAAGCAGCCGACGTGGGCCTGGGCTTCCAGGGACCAGGAGTTCATCGACATGAAGGAGCTGCTCACCAAGATCACACACGACGTAATGACGAGCACGTTGCTGAGCTCTGCCGTCTCCGTGGATTGGCCGAAGCTGAAGGCGGCGGTGGGCGCGGGCAACTACAAGACGGTCCTGACCTCGCTGGTGGGGCTCACCTCCGACCTTTCGAAGATCGACGGGCACCTGAAGATCCTCCTCGGCAGCTACGAGCTTCGCCAGCAGCGCGAGGCGGAGCGGCTCAAGCAGTTGCAGAGCTCGTAGGAGGTCTGCCACGGGGTGGGCTCCGTACACCGCTGCATTCGCAGCGGGCCGCTTCGCGCCTGTTCGCGTGCCAGCCCGATCGCACGGTCATCCTCACTATTGTGATGGCCGATCTGGGGCGAACGCAGTTTTTCTTTGGGGGGCTGGCCCTCAGGAGCCCCTCAGAAGCCATATAGCCATGCGGCGGGTGCGAGCACCTGTCGGCCAGCGATTTCCAGTGATATTAGGTCGGGTGGGGCAGTAACCGGCTACTCCACGAAAAATCATGCGTGTGAAATGCGTGTGAAATGCGTGTGAAACCACCTCGTTCACATGCATGTGAAAATGCGTGTGAACTGCACCAAACCCTGTTATTTCACAGGGATAATGCGTGTGAACGGGGTTACATGCATTCATATGCTTGCGAATGACTTGCGAATGAAATGCGTGTGAAATCCACCGACCCAGAGAGCAGAGCATTCACGCTGGAAATCGATGGCCCGCACGAAGTTGGCGTGCCTTTCCAGTGCCGCGGCCGCGTCTGGGGCGGTTTGTGCGTTGGGAAGGCGTGGGCACCGCCTCGAGCCTCGCCATACTGGGATTGAGCAGTTGCCAGCTGCTTTTGATTCGGAGCGGAGCTCTGCCCTGCAAGTTTCGGGGTGTGCGCAGCGCTGCTCCCAGCTCTCCGTTTATCCTCACTATACTTTCCCTGAACTCGTTCCCCGATATCCGATCTCCCCCCTTCTTCTCGTTCCCTCTCTCCGATCGCCCCCAAGATCTGGAGGTCGCTCGTGGTGGCTCACGGCGATCGCTGGGTGTCAGAGTTCAGCGGTATCGAATGGTAGTTCAACTTGTGAACCGTGATGCTGTGATTTCACGCCTTGTCTCTGAAAACGGTCTGGCGCCGCGTCAGGTTTGTTTTGAAGGGTCTCGGGGTGGCGGGAGCCTCGTCGCATATCGCTGGATCTGGGCTCGATTCGCGATTGGTCCGACCCCTCCGTCCCAGGGAGGACGCGCGGCCATTTGATTGAACCCCTCGACAATTCGAAGGGTCGGGAGGCTGAGGTTGGAAGCATCCAGAGCAAGGGGCGCGTGCGATGGCGATGATGAGGAGTAGGAGGGGGGATGACGAATAACACGGTGAAATGGATGACGATGCTGATGATGCATAAGTGGCGGTGCCATTGCAACGGGTGACGGTGACTGAGCTGCCACGTGCATGCTCAATCGCCAGACGCCGCATTGAAACGTCAAAGGATGTTCGGGACGTTAGTTGTTCCCGACTCGCCCACCGTTGTCGCAGCGGCTCAAACGCAGGCCACAGCTTGGCTGCGCCGCCCAGCATGGCCAATCGCCAGCCCAAGGTAAGCCCCCGAGCGTGGACTGCGACCACTCAGGCCCAGCGCGATGCAGGGTCCAGCTTGCTCGACCACCTCCTCCAGCTATACGCGACTTGTCGTTTGACAGCAAAGGACTTCTGTCTCCTGTGTCATTACGCTGCAGAGGCCAACGTGCCTGGGGGGGCCTTCTCCCTGTACGGCGTGCGGCCAGGACAGACCACTGACGGCAACTACCAGAAACATCTCGATGTTGTGTTGCCCAAATCCGATGCCATGTTCATCGACGTTCCCACGCCAGTAGTAGATGCGCGGTATGGGCGGCACCAACGCAGCTACCCCGTCAGACTCACGTGGGATTCCCTGCAGGCCGAGTTGTCGCACGACCCTGCAATGGCTAGATCACTCCGTCCAGACGCTCCAGTGGGGCCCGACAGTATAATGAACGTGCCAGCCTACGCCCAACATCCAAAAGTTGTAGATATGTCAATGCGCGAGATGGCCCGTCCAGTCCCCATCGCGCTCTACTTGGACGGCGTTGCCTACCAATCCCAGGCTGCAGGGCGCAATGATAGCGTACTCGGGCTCTGGACGATAAACTTGCTCTCAGGTCGCCGTCACTTCATGGCTGCCATCAAAAACAGAGACTACTGCACTTGCGGCTGTCGTGGAATTTGCTCTCTGTATCCTTTGTTCCACCACATACGGTGGCAGTACCTAGCCCTCCACGACGGCATCCGTCCGACCGAGCGATCCGATGGGCGCCCGCTGCCAGATCAGTTTCGGCCAGGTGAGGCCATGTCGTTTTCTGCTGTAGTGGTTTATATAAAGGGCGACTGGGGTGAACACGCTCACTCGCTGGGCTTGGCTGGGTGGTCTACCAAATGGTCGCCGTGCCAATTCTGCTCGGCGACAAGTGAGGAGCGACACACGTTTAACTGTGAACTGGCATCAGCTCAGCCGTCATGGCCTCTGCGCAGCCACGACGAATATGATGAGAGTTGTAGGGCATGCGAGATTGTCGTGCTGCTGAACACAGCTGAGCACAAGACGGCTCTCTTGAGATCACTGAAGTGGTCGCAGCCGCCGAAGAAGATCGGCGGTCGATTGATATTCACCGATGCGGTGATAAACGGGGTAAGGCTGGGCGTCGGTGACAGGCTAGCGCCGTCTCCTGAGCTGCTCGACATCGCGAAGCTCGAGGAGCTAGATGTGCCCACACGCGTGATTTTCTGGCGCGCCACCTTGGACGGCGACAGCCCCCCCAAGGTCATGGACCCGGTGAGCTACAGATGTCCCTTCTTTGACCGCGACCTCCGCACATCTCCCGCCATGAGCCTGGCTGTGGACAGTCTCCACACAATCTCCTTGGGCGTGGGCATGCGGTGGCTCTCCGCAGTTATGTGGCGCGTTCTATTCCGAAATCCGTGGAGGATGGGGGGGTCGTCGGCCGAGCAGATCCTGATATCAGGTGTGGGGGTGCTGAACGCGGAGCTGGAGCGCTGGCAGACCGATCCTGCGAATGCCGTGCCGCAAGAACGTCGCCTCGGGCATCTTACGCTACGTATGCTTGGAAAACGTCGTGGATGCAGCCACCAGGACTGTTGTTTAGTGTGCATCTTCTTTGTACGGCGACGATGCATTGCTGATTGTAACGATGTGCGCGCGTGCAATCGGCAGCGTGCCAACAACGATGACTCGAATGACGATGGTCGGGGTGATGATGATGACGGATAAAACAACGAGAAGGAGGAGCAAGGTGATGATGAGTGGGGCGAGGATTAAGGAGGATCGAGGAGCAGATTGATTTCGGAAATGAGATGGCAGGTTGCCCGCCGTGCCATTCTGCCGACCTGGCCAGGGGCGCTCTGGGGATCGGGGCCTCCCGAGATCGTCCCGTCGCAAGTAGTGGCGCGGACGCAGCATCGCGCGAGCTCGAGCGGGGCCGTGCCGAATCCACGCCTGAAGTCCCGATGCCTTGTATTCCATTCCCCGACAGCGCTTGCACCGCGCGCGCGGCCTCGGGTGGCTGTCGCGCATCACTTTCGGGGTGTGCTCGCGTCAGCGCGCCCTCCAACCAGTAACTGTCAATGTGGGGGGGGGGTTAAGCGCCCAACCAATTTCACATGCAATTTCGTTTGCAAATGAAATTGCATGTGAACTCGTGCCCAACCAATTTCACATGCAATTTCGTTTGCAAATGAAATTGCATGTGAACTCGCTGTGGCCCACGGCTCCGCGGGGCCCCATTGCCTCGTCTTTCTTGCTTCCACGACATATGTCGCATCGATCAATTGTTTGGGATCCACTCGCTGACAACGTGCCCCTGCTCCGACCGTGCGTGCAACAAGCCGCCTGAAGAAACGCATTGAGGGGCGCTGCCATGGGGTGAACGCCGCGTGGGGGAGGTGACGAGGGCACATCATGGATATGCGTTGGCATAGCCATCATTTCGTTCCCTTCCATCCCACCTCGCCCATTCTCGCCCGCAGCTCGACTCCTGTGCTCCCAGCCCCGCCGTTCGCTGTCTCTGCATGGGGTGTGCATATAACGTGCAGCATCTGCCAGAAGCCCGACCACCCTGGCGCACACATGTCCCTGAAGGCGGCCGAAGTGAACGTGATGCTTAAGTTTGGTTTCCATTTATTGTTGAGGCACGGGGGGGGTGGTCGTGTTCGGCGATGCAATCGTGGGGGCGGGGCACGCCCTTCTGACCCTCCTCGCGGAGATGGCCGCGCACAAGGTTCTGCCGACAGATGAGGGGATGACTAAACTTCGAGTCGCCCTGGATTCGCATCTTCTTTGCTGCCAAGCAGCGGGCATTACCCTTACCCCCAAATACCACCTGATGGCGCACATGATCCACAGGAGCGGGGCCCCCAACCCAATCCCTACCATTGCCTTCCCGTTAACCTCTCTCTTTTCTCCCCAAACTTCCACTTCCGCCTCCTCCACCGCCATCGCCAGCCCCTCCGACCCTGATCCGAACCCTCGGTGATCTGGCGGGGTCGGCGCCGACCTCCTGGTCCTTCAGCGGGGCGCGGGGTGATCTGCATTTCGAGTCGGGCCCCCCGCCTGGGCGGGCATGGGGGAGCTGGCAGGTGGGGGCGAAGACCGAGATAGAGAGCGAGAGAGAGAGAGAGAGAGAGAGAGAGAGAGAGAGAGAGAGAGAGAGAGAGAGAGAGAGAGAGAGAGAGAGAGAGCGCGATGGGGGGGTGGAGCGAGGGGACTCTATACACACATACAAATACGCACATACGTACAATACTATATATATACACATATCGAGAGGCATATAGAGTTGCGGGGGGGGGGGGTAAGGCAACGGGGGATGTGCTGAGCAGGATCTGGAGGTCGAGCGCCGTTGATGGTAGATAGCTTTCGATGTAGGGGCGGGGGGCGGCACGTGGGCAGCGGACTTCCTTTTGAGGCGCCCCCTACTAGTTCAGGATCCCTTGGCACGGTGTTCCCAAATTGTATGCCACGTATACGGACGAGAGCCTCAACCGAAATTTGAGGTCGATCGCCATGTTCTGCCATCGATTGACATTTGGTTCCAGGGTCCACAAGCTGATTGATCTCCAATCGTACTTTTCCGCTGGGAAGTACATTTCAGCTCCAGCTGGTGGCAAACAATCACTGTTATCAGGTGTCGGTCGATAGTGCCCCTTGGGCGGCAATGGGGGCGCCCAGCGATGCTCCCGATATCGACCCTCCTCATGATGTTGCGTTTCAATGGGCATCGGCAGCGTCGGTTGAGTTGATGAACGACGGCATGCCCGATCTTGGAACTGATGGCCACGGTTCACGTATGCTGTCACGAGCCGCTGAGAGGCTCCAGAAGGATATGTGTTTGATTCCCAGAACCCTCGCTTGCGTTGAAGTTTTTGCTGGTAGCGCTCGTATAACGCGCAGCTTGATATCCAAAGGTTACCGAGCTTGTAGTGTCGAGCGTGATCGGTTTGGATGGCAAGATTGTTGTTCTTTGATTGGCACGTTGTATGTGATGTTCCTCGTTGCGGCAATTCTGCCGACGGGTACTCTCTGGCTGAGTCCCCAGTGTTCGACGTGGTTGAACCTGTGCATGTACCACACGCGCCGCTCTATTGACGATCCACTCGGTGATTGCAGTCGGTTGGATGTCCGAGAAGGGAACTACGTGGCATCACTGACGTCGGCTGGGTTTAAACAAAACAACGCAATGAGGAGGCATAGGTCTCTGGGCGAGGAGGAGCAGGGGGCGGGGAGAGGTGCGGCTGCGCGGGGGATGGCGAGGGAAGAACGAGGATGGCAAGGGGAATGAGCAGGGAGAGGAATGATACAGCGGATGGGGAGAGGCATGAAAACAATTGTGTAACCTTATAGTTTTGCTTATGTTTCCATCGACCAGGGGGGGGGCGCGCGCGCGGCTCGCGCGCGCCCATCCCCACAGGTCGTTCCTGATATTCCTGGCCGCCACGCGGGGGGTGAAGTGGGCAATCGAGCAGCCTCTGAATTCGATATTCTTCCACGTCGTCACCATCTCCGATGACATTTTCAAGACCGCTGCAGAGAGGGTCATCACCAGTCTTGGCGCTTACGGATCCACATCAGTGAAAACATTAGAAATATGGTCCACTGTGAGGGGTCTGGCCACGCACATTTTCAAATCCAAATCAGATGCCGCGCGTCGGCTCGGTGACAAGAGGACCCCTTTGTACAGCAAGACCCATCGGAAGCCCGCCAGCGCTTTGAGAATGCCATCCAGGTCAGGCGGTCTCACCAAGAGACCCAGCAGTTTCACCGAGAGACCCAGCAGTTTTGGCAAAGCATGGGTAACAGGGCAGAAAGGCGCCATGGCGGCGTCCAAGATTTACCCGCAGGAGTTTGCCAACAAGATTGCGCTTGTTGTAATCGATTTGTTGTCGGTGGATGCTCGGCGAGAGGCCAGCTTATGAGCCTCGTATAGGGGTGGGGGGGGGGCGTTCGAGACACCCGCGGACTACTAGAGGGGATAGGGTATGGAGGGGAGAACCACTGTGCTAATGCCATTCACGCTGCTAGACTGTCACGTTCTGCGCCCGCGCCCGCCCGCCTCGGCGACGTTGATCGCCTGCGTGTTCGGTGCGCAGCTCTGGATCGACCAGATCACGTTGGCGCAGTCTTCGTCGGTCTCTGTCGGGCCCGCGTCTTGAGTTCGGAGGGGGTGGGGCGAGTTGCAGGGACCGACGGTCTGAGCGCCAGTTTTCAGAGCTGCGCCCATCCGTGGCGAGCCTGGGTGCATCGCACTGGCACGGACCACATGGATTCAAGAGGGGATCGGGCGAGTTCACATGCAAAATCATGTGCAAATGATTTTGCATGTGATTTGCATGCGGTCACGTTCTGGCTACACCGTGGTTGAAACGACGGGCCTCGAGGGTCGATGTTTGAGTTGTTTCTGATGTATCTGTACGTGGGGGGCCCATCGAAGTCTAGTGGCCTCGCCTCCTCGGATCGGATCGGTCTCGGCTCGAAGATATATTCTAAGGATCGCGATTTCAATTCTCGCCCGCGGAGCCTTATCAGAAATGCACATCCCCTCAGAAAATGATATGGGCATTGTGGATCATGGAAACGTGCCGCGCGGGATGATATATTCCCTGGTTGATATCGTGTCCAGACTGCGGGCACACATACACATAATATATACATTATTCGTCCTACTCCTACTCTTCCTCCTCCTCCTCCTCATTCACTTCTCCTCGCCTTCCCAACCCTTCCACCGCCACTCCATCATTTCGGAAGGCAGCCAGCTTCAGACGGAGAAACTGCATCTAAGAAGCGTGAGCTGGAGCCAGACATTCAGCCATCGGCCGACGCCGACGAAAAATCAGACGACGAGCCGAAGCAGAGCACGACAGCCAACCAGCCGATCGCCAAGCCTTATCAGCCAGCGTATTATCATGTCAGCATGGATGTAGCAAACCAGCGAGCCCGAGCAGCATTGGACAATGTGCAGACTGAGATCTTGCGCGAGCGCGCTAATGCTCTGAGCGCACCGACAGCCGCGTGGACAATCGTTTCGGCGGGCAGGCAAATCAACACCTCTACTATCAGAAGGGGGGGAACCTCACATAATGCGAGAGGATGGCAACGCAGAATAGGAGGAGGGGGGGGAGGAGGATGAGGTGGAGGAGGAGGAGGAGGATGAGGAGGGGGAGGAGGAGGAGGGATAGGAGGTGGAGGGCGAGGACGATGGGTTGGGCGGGGAGGGCAGCGACAAAACCGACTAGCACTCGAAGGAACCATCCCCCATCGGGTACCCCTTTCAAAGTGAGCGGCACGAGCTCGAGCCCGAGCAGCTCGATGCCCGTGCAGCCTCTCGTGGACCCTGGCCCTCCGCCCAGTGAGTTTAAAGCGTTCACCGATGAGGAGTTGGATGTCATGCTTGACAAATGCTAGACGTCGCTCGCCCGCAGTTCCGAGGCGACCCAAATCTCACCCTCCTCGTCGCAGTCGCCGCGGTTGTAATTATCGTCGCCGCCGTCGTCGTCGTCATCGCCGCCGCCGCCACCGTAGTATTCGTCGTCGTCGCCGCCGACGTCGTCGTCGTCGTCGTCGTCGTCGGCGTCGGCGTCGGCGTCGGCGGCGGCGGCGGCGGCGGCTGCGGCGTCGGCGTCGGCGGCGTCGTCATCGGCGGCGTCCTACCCACCCTCTTCCTCCTCCTCATCTTCCTCCTCCTCCTCCTCCTCCTCCTCCTCGACGTCTCCCTTCCTCGTCCTCGTCCTCCTCCGCCCCCCCCTCATCGTCGTCGTCCGCCGCTTCCGCCCTCCTCTTCCTCTTCCTTCTCTTCTTCATCCTCTCCCCCCTTGCCCTCCTACTCCTCCACTCGGACCCCCTCCCCCCGCTCGCACACTCCCCGCGCGCCTCTGCGCGCGCGGGGTTCAACGCAATGAACTACGCGAGGTACTGGGATAGACCGTGCCCCGCGGCTGACCCCGCGGCCGCGGCCGCGGCGCATGTGGAGCACCTCCTGGGTGCACCTCCTGGCCTGGAGGAGGAGCTGGATCTGGCAGCTCTGCCAGATCCCCCAGGCGCACAGCCATGGGGCGCCGAGCGCCCACCATGGTGGGCGCATGGCGGGTGGCATGTCCCGCGGAACCCCTTGCCGCTGCACTTGTGGGAAGCGTCCTTGCGGGACGTGCCGCCCCTTGGGCGGGCCCGCGTGCCCATGCGTTGGGCGCTTGTGGCGATCGACCCATGCGACGACAACAAGCCCGCCACCGCCACCCTCGGGTGGTTGGACGAGAACGGGAGCCCCAGGGCTAAACTACTGCGTAACATAACGCATATGCGCACAGCGCGAAACATAAAGATGTTGTTGCCCGCAGGTACAACTGGGCGTGGTGCGACCTTCCGCACGCGAACCCGCGCGTGCTACGCCTGTGTATATAAAAAAAAGAAACACCAGCCCCTCCCCATCGCTCTCCCCTCCCTCTCCCTCCCTCCTCCTCCCCTCCTCCTGCTTTTCCCTCCTCCTCCCCCTCCTCCTCCCCCTCCCCCTCCTCTTCCTCGGCGACGGCTCGAACTAGCGCTGGCTATCCATCGTGGGATGGCGGCGCCCGTGGCAGACGTGGCGTTTTTTGTTTTTTGTTTTTCCTTCTCAACGTTCGAGCCAGCGACGAACTGCTTGGGCTTTGGTTCACTGCTGGACAGGCGCGCAGTCCTCGGGATTGCCGCAACTGATCGCAACGCGCGCATGCGAAGGCCGAGGCCGTTTTCGGGGCTGGCTGGATTGCCGCGTCCGCGCATGCAAGCGCAGTCTGCATGAGCCCTGAATCATGTAAACGGATTCAGGGCTCATGCAGAATGTGTCTGTGTATAGATGAGCTCACTATGCGTATACAGATGGCTCGCAGCAGCGCGCATGCCGTGGTTGTCTTGCAGGTGATGCTCACCTTCCTATTCACATTACACGTGTAAAGATATCCAAATCGCAAATACGGGTTGCTGCAACCGCTACGTCAACAAGCATGTGCATTCAAGCAAGCTGTGGACGCATGATGCATCGTGCCGCGATCGTAGAGAACTGTATCACATATGATACGCGCGATGATTATCTTGAGTTTGGTGCAGACAATACATCGGCACGCGTGATTTGCGATAATATTGTCTGAACACATAACTTATAGATCCCGTTTTCGCATGATGCAAACAAAACAGGATCTACTGTTATCTTGTCATAAGTAAAGGGATCTGTTGATGGCGCCCAAACTCATAGATCCCAACCCGGGATCTACAGATCCTCTGGGCATCGAGAGGTTCAACCGGACGCTGCTGGAGGGTGCTCTCGCGCTGCTCGCGATGGCGGCTTTTCCCGTCACCTGGCGGCCGCTAGCGCTGACGATGTGGTGCATGATGCACAACGGCTTCAAGATCGGCAAGGACGGCTTCACCCCATATTTTCGACGTTTCGGCCGCCATCCTGAGTTCCGGCAGTGCCCCTTCGGCGCTCTCGTATTTGTGGCGCCGCGGGAGAAGGGAGTCAAGCAGCCCAGGTGGCAGGAAAAGATGCTACCCTACGTGCTTGCCGGCATCGGGATTGGCCCTTTCTTCGACTGGAACAAGACGTACGCCGTCGTCCCTCTCCGCAGGCTGCTGGGCGATTATCGGCCATCGCGGTCATCTATTAGATATTCTGCCGAGGTCTTCTTCCCCGAGCGCGTCACCTTCCCAGCGAAGCAACGTCTTCGCCTTGCAGGGGCGGCCAGGGACGACGCCTTCCCTGCCCCGGCGGTCTGCGATGAGAAAGGGGGCTTGGGACATTGAGGAGTCGGACCGCAGCGCTGGCTCAGGCAACGAGTACGACGGCGAGCTCGCGGAGAATGCGCCCAAGCTGGTGCCGGGCAACTTCGTCGAAGACATTGTGCTGGACCCCGAGAACCTGGCCGACTCCGGCGGCGACCAAGATGACTGGCTTGGAGCTGATGCCCAGTTTATCGCTGAAGATGTTCTCGCCGGCATGGGGCCGGAGCCGGAGCCCCTCGACGAGGCCGAGGTCAAGGCTGCAGGGGGGCGCCCGCCGACCGGCTGGAGGATCGACACGTTCGGCAGCCGAGCGGTCTCTGTCCCGCCATGGTCGCGGAGGCCTCCCACCGTCTACCCGGAGGCGTGGGTCATGATGAGCAAGGGGGACCAGAACAAGCTGAGGGACGAGTGGAAGGAGAAGGATCCAGATGGATTCAAGAAGCAGGAAAATCGGAGAAGCGCTTGCCAGGAAGCCAAAAGGGCAAGGCGGATGCCCGCCGCAGCGGCGACACGGTCTGGGGGAGGTACCCCTCAGGAGCCGGCGGCGGCACGGTCCGGGGGTGGGGGACCCCGGCCGCCTGAGGCAGCACGGGCAGCGGATGCCGCCCAACAGCCTGACCAACAACCAGAAGCAGTTCCAGCACCTGGGAGTCCAGCGCCGGTGCTTTCGGCAGTGCATCGGGACGTGCGGCGCGCTGGTTCTGCTTCGCTGGCGCCGGTGCTAATCGCGAGGCACCGGGACATGCGGCATAAACGATTGATCGGTTCTCCTAGCTTGTCGACCTTGCATGAAGCTGGCGAGCGTGCTGATCTTCTCAAGTGCGCCAGGGCGAAGATTCGTTCGGGCGCCTTCACTGCCATTTTTCTTGAAATTAATTGCGAAATGGACTCAGTACTATCTCAAGGAGTTGTTCCAGGTACCCTGGCTATCCGCCTGGCCGAGGAGACCGACCTTACATTGAAGGAGACCCGCCGTGCTCTACATGGTGTGGTCCGGGAGGCCTACCTCAATGGGTGTGCAATTTACGTCTGGGCGTCGACGCCGAGCACGGCCGGGAGCCCGAGGCAGCACGTCGACGCTGGGCCTGGCGGTGCCCGTGGTGACGTGGATCTTTCTGACAAGCTCATACAGACCACCATTTCTATTTGCAGGCACGCGGCGAGATACGGTGGCTGGATTTTCTGGGAGCGGCCTCCTACGTCCAAATTCTGGCACCGCCAGGACGTCATCGACTTCGCGCAGTACCTCGATGCTGGCAGCCGGGACGTCTCGACCGCAGCGCTCGGGATGAAGTTTGTCGTGAAGCGCGGCGGCCAGGAGATCGAGCAATATCTCAAGCAGAAGTGGAGGATCATGTCGAACCACGCGGAGTTTCTTCGACGATTGGAGCCGTACCAGGACGTTCCGGACCTCCCCGAGGACAGCTTCATCGAGTGCACGGGCAAGATCGCCAAGGACAGCGCCAACTACACGCGGGAGCTGGCGGAGGTTTTTTGGAGCATCGTCAAGGTTGTGCCCAGCCTAGACCACCGCGATGACGGGGTTGGTGCAGAGCCACCTGTGTGGTCGTGCTTGATTACACGGAAGATCAATCTGAAGTCAGCCGAGGCTCGATCCGAAGCCGCTCTGAAGGCCATCGAAAAGGAGCTGGCTGGCCATCGGAGCCGGCAGACTTGGTCCGAGACGGAGGTCCGGGAGTACAAGGACCTGATGAAGGACCCAACGATTCCGGAAGTCTTGCACGGCCGCGTCTTCGGCATCATGGGCGAGAAGAACGCCGAGGGCGACGACGCCTCGATCAAGTTCCGGGCGGTCTTCCAGGGCAGCCAGGTGAGGACAAAAACGGGCGTCGACGCCGTCGACCTGTACCAGGAGGTTTCGAGCAGCCCGGTGAGCTTCGCAGCGGTGCGCTGCACTCTTGCGATCGCCGTGCTGCTTCAGCTCCAGGTGTCGGTTTGCGACGCCCTGCAGGCGTACCTTCAGGCATCGATCAGCGGGCCAGGGCGAGTTCCCACGTGGGTCGAGATCCCACGGGAGTGGTGGCCGTCGAGCTGGTACCACAACGGGGACCGGTCTCGCCCCAGGTTCGTTCGACCGGTATGCCTTCTGCTCCGAGCTCTTTACGGGCATCCGGAAGCAGGCGCACTCTGGGAGCACCTGTTCGAGGGCATCCTGAAGGCATTGCACTGGGAGCCGGTGGCTTCCTGGCCTGGGGTCTTCCTTCACCCGGACGGTAGCATTCTCAACGTGTACGTCGACGACGTGCTCCTGGCAGCGGCTATCGGGAGGGCCGCCGCGCATTGGAGGGACCTCTTCAAAGCCATCGACTTTAAGGACGACGCGGCGGACATCTCTCGGTTCGTGGGGGCCCACTACTTGCTCGACCCGTTCCGGGAGGAGGAGCCGTTGGCAGCGCGTCGCATGCAGATCTCGATGTCTGGGCACACTGCGAAGATGTGCGACCGGTTTGTGGCTGACACCGGCATCGCCTTGAACAGGGCAGTCGACACGCCGTACTTGTCGAACGAGGCGTGGAACGACGACAACGAGCAGACGGGGAAGTTCGCACCGATTGCGCCCTCTCACGCAGCCTCTGCCTTGTTCCTGTACCGCGTCGGCAGGCCGGACATAGCCGCGGCCACCCAGCGCCTCTGCAGCAAGGTATTTGCTTGGACCGTCGTGCACGACAAGGCCCTCATCAGGCTCATGCTCTATGCCGCCTGCACGGCGAAGGCTGTGCTGCGCGGGGCGTTGTCGCCGTCTGATCTGGCCACGCTGCTGCTAGTCTGCTACTCGGACGCTGACCTGAATGGCAATTCGGAGACCACCAAATCTGTCTCGGGCTGGTGGGTCGAGCTCTTCTCTCCCGAGAGTGGGAACACGTTTCCGCTGAGCTGGGGAGTATCGACACAGACATCGACCAGCTCGGCCACTGCCGAATCCGAGACGGTTGCCTTCAGTCACGCTCTGCGCCGGGAGGCGATCCCGTTGCAGATGTTGCTTGAAGAGGCTTTTGGCCAGCATATCCACATAGTTTGTCGCATCGATAATATGCAAACTATTCAGTGTGTAGCAAAAGGTTACAGCAAGAAGCTCAGACACTTACCACGTACCCAGCGGATCTGTCTTGGGGTGCTTCACGAGATGGTCACAAACCCCGACCTGCGCATCGCTATGGAGCATTGCCCGACATTGGCCATGAAAGCGGACCTGTTCACGAAGACGTTGAACTCGGCACGGTACGCGACGGCCTTGGACATGATCGGGCTTGATGTCACAGACGGGGCCTGAGACTGAGCCAGTGCACATGCATTTTTTCTCAATTCACGCTGAATTGTATGAGCCTCTGGTCGCCGTGGCGAGGGGGGTGTGAAAATGACAGCGGGGCGCGTTACATGCTCAATGTCAGCGGCGCAAAAGTTACTTAAGACCGGGTTTTTTTCGAAGGCACGATGTATGTTTCTCTTAATGTATTCCGCCACAGCTCCTGGTGAAGTGATTGGGAGCAGCAGCATTCAGCTTGCCGCTCGGCACGGTATGTAATATATTTTGGTCCAAGTTCTAGTCGGGTCATCATCGCGGGTAGGG